ACTTTCGTTGACTTGCATTTTGGTCCTTTTCGCCTCTTTTCGATTACATTTCGTTCATTCCTTCAAAGTAGCCCTACAAAACAAAACTTAATGAATTACGGCCTTTTCGAGCTTTTTCTAACAACATTCAATCTAATTTGTGTCATAATTAAGTGTGTAAAACACACTTATCATGTAGTCATATGATTCGATGACATATTGGTGTATAGTGGATTCCATATACTAGATGATTGCATGATGTTTGTAACATGAAATTTGCAAAATTCATGCTCACATTTTAAACTATTAGCGTAATTTTCAGGTTATACAATCAAGATAGTGTGTCTTATTAATGCTAGTGAGTCCACATCCCAAACTTTTGATACATATTAATTGGGATGACATTAAATGGTTTAACACAATTGATTTTTAAGTGTTTCCAATTAATTTCATAACCATTATTATTGAGAACAAAGTACTTCCAAACTTTGTAATGAGGCAATTTTTGTAACATATTTAAAGAAATAATGTACTCTTTTTTTTTCCTTCATTAGGACTTTTGCTACAGTGTTTTTCCTACAAAGGTTTTAACGAGACTTTTTTGTGTATTGAATATCTATAACCTACAAAATATTTACCCTCAAAATAATACTTTTAAATGTTAAAAATTATGTTAAAAAGCAACAATACAATCTATTTTCCGACAAATCATAATTCTGACTAAAGACAAACAAAGTTTGATAAATATCTTGTGCGAAGATGTATTATTTAAAGAGAAAATATGACAACATATTTCACCATAATTCTAATATTGAAGACATCGACATACAAGACATGGATGAATTGATGCAACAATTTTCATTTACTGAAATTAGGGGAGTAGCAATACTCTTTTTCCTTCGCTCAAGTTTTGTCCCACTGGATTTTCTGGACAAGGTTTCAACAAGGCAACATTTTATTACTCCAATTTTGTTATAATTATTTGTAGTCTTTCTTTTTCCTTTGTTTGGTATTTTATCTCACTGGATTTTTTGCCAAATTGAGTTTTTAATGAGGCGAATATTGTGTAAATAGTCATCAAAGGGGAATGTTGTAAAACTATAAGATAAAAATTGATGACTATTTAATCTTATCAAGGTACTTAAATAAGTTGTATCTACTATAGAAGAGCCTATTTTATTCATATTAAAACTCTTATTTGAGCACTATAAAATATGGGGTATTGATTCTCAATAGAGTACACACAATTGTATTGACTTCTCTACTTTCTTCTTCTTTTCTCTCTATTTTATAACATAGAGAAATTATTTTCACATCAGTTTTGTCCACATATTTAAACATATAATCATCTTATCATTTTCATTTTATTGTGTATGTATTTATATTTATTATAAGATAAATACTACATGATTATCCAAATACAAACTTTCTAATAGATAAAAAAAATTAAATTACATCCATCTCAATATATATTTTACAATTAAATCAATAATGCTAAAATCTCTGTATGAACTAAATAATTATTAATAAGTGTCTTGATGATTGATTATAAATAATCCACTTGCTGTAGAATAATTCAGCTAAGTGGAGGTTTCCTTGCTGAAAGGTGATTTTAAGTCCCTAAACCTTTTTTCTTCCGAAAGCAATTTTGCAAACCTGTAAGACAAAATGAATAGGACAATTGTTAACATGAATACAAATGAATTAAAAATATGAAAAAAAGCAGCAAGTCAATTTTTTTTAATGTCTATTCATACTTTTTTAGAGCATCCTCATTTGTTCCACCGTTTTCAATTGGCTCAAATAGACCTGAATCTAAGTTGACCCTTGAAACTGGTTTCTTCAATAAACATTGGCCAATTTCAACCAGTTTGTTCAGGTTTTCCAATGTTGCAACATCAACTGAGGCGGCCGTCCCATTTAAAGTGTCCTCCTTACATCCAATTAAAAAAAATTGTCAGTTCCCATAAATGTAAAAGAAAAAATTACAAAATAAGGGGTTTAACACAATTTAAATAAATAAATTTGTTCAGATTTAGCTTTTAGATTGGATGAGTATATATTAGTATTAAAAGAGGCAAATGTCTTATATTAACCAGTAATCACCACAAAAAAAAAACCTACATACATGTTAAGCCTTTAATGATGAAATAAATCTGGTGTGTAGAAAAAACGATTTGTTGAGGTTAAAAATTTAAATGAGTAAAATTTGGATGCAAACTTTATCTTGTAAATGATGTGGTTTAACGTCAATCTTACTTGAATTCTAAGGTAGTTTTCTTGAGAATGAAATGCTTGAAAAACAACGGAAATATGTAAATCCACCATATCAGCACTGGCTTGAGTGAAAATATCTACTATTGGAGTGGAACCTCCATTCAGCAACCATCCTAAAACTCCCCATTTGGCTGCCTTTTGAGCACTATATTTCTTCTGAGCCTTTGACGAGCCAGTGCCCACTGAGATGACTAAAAAGCGTCCATAATCCATAGGCTTAATTGGGAAGAAATCTGGGATTCCATCCAAAATCTGTATCGTAATTTGGTTGATGGCAACTAATTCCTGCATAAATATAGGGTTTTAGAAAATATTGATTATTCCTTTTCCATTTTCTATCACTACCATCCTAAATCTCCCCATTTGGCTGCCTTTTGAGCACTGTATTTCTGCTGTGCCTTTGACGAGCCAGTGCCCACTGAGATGACTAAAAAGCGTCCATAATCCATAGGCTTAATTGGGAAGAAATCTGGGTTTCCATCCAAAATCTGTTTCGTAATTTGGTTGATGGCAACTAATGCCTGCATAAATATAGGGTTTTCGAAAATATAAGATTTTGACATTTCTGTTTCTATGAGTAAAAGAAAGAAAGAATTCGACAAGCAAAATAGTTCGTGTAAAGAAGATAAACAAAGCACAAAGAGTTTGGCCTCATATTGGTTCATTAATTTACCAGAAGTGCCCAACATTAGATTTATTTGAATTTCATGAACAACTTTAATTTCTATAAAATTCGAAAAACAATGTTTAATATTTAATGAACGCTTTATTTCTGAATGATCTTTGTGAGATTTAAGTATAATATATTTGCTGATAAAAGGAGAAAACATAATATTTTGTAAATATTAGTGAAAGTTAACTAGTATGGAATGGATATTGAAACGGTCAAACAAAGTATGTACATATTCATCTAATTTATTTTATTATAGAAAATTCAATGACATTGGTGTCTATGTATGATAAGTACACAAGTATATACATTTGTATGTGTGTACATTATATGATAAAATTAATAACAATTAGTTTACCGGATTATTGGCAGCAACACCACCATCTACGAGGTTGAACTCTCGTACATAACCTTGTCTAATCTGGTTCTTGAAATAATATGCAGGAAGATAAGTTGGAGCTGCAGATGTGCCAATGCATATATCTGAGAGTTGAGCGTCCAACGATGGCGTCATCATGGCCTGTATATACATATATACGGACTGAATTACATTATATTCCCTGTTTGACTCAATTCTTTTTGTACCCTATATAGATCTAGCTCAAGCTATAGACAAATGAGTTATTCATGAACAATGTGAGATTAAAAACTAGGAATGACATTTTAAAAATATCGTTGATAATGAAAAATAGTTAGAATCCGTCACTAATGTTACAAATGTAAAATAAAAAGATTTATAGATTATCAATATTCTTGTAGTAACTTGTTAATAAAATAAAGAAAAAAAATAAAATTTTGACGTGGACACCAACAATTTCTCTGTAGGCGATCATCGATGGAAACATTGTTCATTATTACCGATGACATCATACACGACATTATGGTCGGTAGTCACTCATGAATGTGCATTGACAATATGCAACAACATGAGTGCTAGTAATTCCATTCAAATCACTGACATGTCAGCAATTATTGGCACAACTGTTACTTTAATTGTTCGCTCTATTTTAATTTATTATTATTCTTTTTGGAGAAGACCCTAAAAATTTTTGTCTAAGGCCCTTGAATTGATTGAGAGACCTCTATTAAATACTTACAATATAATGATTGGTTGGCTAGAATATTATAGTTTCAAGTTTTTAGATAGAAAAAAGCACAAAACAAATAAAATATTAGCATTCTAGTGTTCAATGTTCTTGAACAATTGTGAACAATTGTGAATATAATCAAACAAATAGAGTTGGGGGAAAGGAATGATGAAAAGAATGGTAGACCTGATATGTTGAGAAAACAATAGGTTGCAAATTTTCGATGTTAAATGTTGGAATGACAACATTAGTTAATGTCTCATCGAGTCGAGTCTTGCCTAGTTTTTCCCTGATAACTTTGTGAAGGTACTCTCCATCATACATTGGTCCGATTATAGATTTCAATAGTTTTCCGGCCAATCCCAGCAAGCCACTGCAATTCGAAACTAATACAATTATGTGTGCTCATCAATAAAAATTTGGTCATAAAATCAATAAGATTAATATAAAATGCAACTGTTCATTGTACTACTAAAGTATAATTTATACTTCTTTTGAGGAAAAATTCTAGAGGAGTGCTCGAGATAAAAGTGTTTGATATCTTTAGCTACAAACAACGGACGGTTATTTTTGTTAGGAGCGGTTAACATGGCAGTTACTAAACCTCCCGTGCTCGTTCCTGCAATTACGTCAAAGTAATCTGCAAGTCTAGCATCCTCACCGTCAAGCACCTGGCAATGACGAACACATATTTCTAGTCATTAGTTTTATATACATGGTTCAATGTAGTATATTATAAATGCATTTTGTTGTGGAATCTTTAACATCTCTTCCATTTTAAAATTTGGGCAACTTGTTATTAGATATGTTTTATATGAATATGTTGGTGTTTGTCTCTGATTAGTTTCAAACTTTTATTTAGATACGACTATCACCCAAACATTAAAATTACCATGTTTTCGACAAAAATGCGATGGAAATAATTAAACATTTTTAAAGAAACATATGTTTCTGCTATCTAAAAAACATAAAGTATTATTAAGGTCGGGATGTATGTTCTCTCTAACAAAGATAAAGTAGTATGAGGGTAACCGAAGATATTGAGTTGAAATCTAACCGCTAACTATTTGTTAAAATTATCCACGACTTGAGATTTTGAAGAAAAAATGATTCCGGCCCTACCCAAGGTTGGATGCCTTGAAGAGAACTTCTAAAAAATGAGTCTCTTCCCTAATAGTTTAAGCTTTTGAATAAAATGGTCAAGAGTCATATTTTTCTTTTTTCTTTTTTTCAAAAAGTAAAAATAGAAACAAAGCTATTTATAAGTTAATTACCTGAAGTTGAGATTCAAGATATTCAAGGATAGTGGCAGGAATAATTCCTCTAATACCACCCCCATCAATGCTCAGAATTGTGATCAGATTTCCATAAGTAGGGGGTTGTATCTGAACTGAGGATGAAGCCCTCTTCATAATATTTATGTATAAATGCCTGTGTTTAGAAACTAACTAAAGAAGATTTTAAGCAATTTTCTAGCTTTACTTTTGGATAAGACTTGTGTGCTTGGGGGATATATTTATAGGTCTGATTACTATAAATCTTTTGGATAAACCTACATACGCATGGGGTTTAAACTATTATAAACAGCTGCACAGGTCAAAGACCATGTGTATCATAATATATAAAGGCGTGGAAAGCTTCTACGAATTTACAAACAAAATGTGCGTAAGTTGTAACATTCGTAGTAATCTAGGTCTATTGAACATTAATTTATTTACTGGAAATGAACACGTGTTCATCATTGTATATATCTGCTTAGAAGGACCACCTTAAAATTGGTTTTCATTACAATAATAAAAGTTCATGATCATTGGACATATAATTTAACCATATTGAGAATGCTGATTAGATAATCATTGGCGTTGGCAATTGCTGGTTAAATATGATGGCATTTTTTTTGTTTTCTTTTCTTTTTTCCCTCAAAACAAAGATGGGGACTTATGATGACTTTGACAATCGATTTTAAAGTTGAGTTATAATTATTCAACGAACTTTATATTATCTAATTATATATTTTTATAATGTTAAATAAATAATTTTTTTTTTCTGGAGAACTGTCATCATATGAATTACTAATATATATTTATATATTTTCCCATAACAACATTTATCTGGTTGAAAGAATCTTAATGATCTTGGTTTATTTCTCATTAATTTATTTATCCTAAATAACCACGTATTTTTCTCACATTATGCATCAATGTAGAAGAACCACCAGAAAAAAAAAACTCTAACTGGGTCTTTTTATTACAATATTAAACGGAGAAAGAAATTGCAGGACAGTTTCTCTCTGCTAGTGATTTCCGGAAGTGAAAATTAGGTTACAAATTTCATTTTCTTATAATGCCCCGAGGAGAATTGCACTAACTTAAATCACTGCGAACAGTTAGTGATAAAAATAGGTTATCTCATGGGCCACTTTATTCTCCTTTTGAGTATATAAGGACAAGAATCACAACACTATAATTAATGAAATTTTTGATGTGCTAATTTAGTTGGTTAAAAAATTCACAAGGACATATGTCTTCTTGACAAAAGAATAAAAAAATTAAATTTCTAAAAAATCTAAAAATAAACGTAACAAATTATTAAATAAGAAATATATACCAAAATGAATATTAAATGAAAACATAAAGTACAATTATTGAGTATAGTTTCTTACGAACGTAGAATACATAGTTGACCTAATATAATGTAACCATGTTGAGAATGCTGATTCAATAATCACTGGCGTTGGCAATCGCTGATTCAATAGATCTGCTGGCTGGTTGCTATTTTTACTAAGTATATATATACACTAGATGGCTGCTTTAAACTTTCAATGTAACGAGTAAAATTTGAAGTCGATCCAGTAGGATAATGTTGGCATGATGATTAAGATGGGTGTTGACAATAAAATGTTATATAATTATTATAATTGTTTGTTGTTCATAATTTGGGTTGAGATGTGAATGAATTAATGATGAAATTGGAAGACAATATTGGATGATATTGGAAGGCAATGTTGGGTGATTTCTGCTTAACCATACATAAGCACAGGTGTTTGATTTTTCAATGTTGGATTGATTTTTCATTTGAATTCCTGGTGCCTTTTGATGGAAAGTTTTCAACTTTTCACGAGTATTTGGAGCTTTTTCGTGGTATAATGTTAGAAATCTATAAATAGATAACATATTTCCAATTCCAAACATAACAATAACATAAGATTTCAACATTGATTTCTACACTTGATTTTTCCCATTCTAATTTATTCAAACCTTCTTCAAGTTTTCAACAAGTTCGACTAGAAAGACTTGTTGGTCCTCTGAACTATTTACGGAAAATTCTAAAAGCATCTTAGAGGAGGCTGAAAGAACGAAGTTCGACCCTAACAACACTTGGGGGGTGAATACGTGATTATGCGAAATTAAAAATTATTTAATAATTAATTAGTAACAAGTCACTATTAATTATTTATCTAGATGGTTAAACATACAATTCAATTAATCCTATGTTGAAACATCATAGTTATGTAAGTAATAAATGAGCACAAGAATTGATCACGGAGAAACCCAACTAGGTGAAAACTTCGGGTACTTTGCCAATTACCAATCCACTATAAACGATTTTTAACTTACAGTTTACCGGACTAGACGACGACACGTACTAACTGATCTCCTAATTGCAATTCCAACAGCTCTCCTAAATTCTGTGTTCCTGCACCAACTCTCAGCTGCGGTTTTCAAAGCTATCCTAGATTGCGCTCTCCTGCAACAACTCCCAACTTTGTAAAATCGTCTATTCTTCGATGACTGGAACTCCAGTCACCTTCCCTTGATCTTCAGAAACTCTGACAGATATGTAGGTGTTGACCCACTAAAAGTGCAGCCCAAATTAAATGGCCCAAAGAGCGAAGCCCAGTTTGGAATCCAAGATGAAAGCCCAAGCAAAGGGTATTATTGAAGAATGTAAAAGCCCACAAATAAAGGAACGCCGTCGC